CCGCCCGCGCCCCCGTGTGTGGGCAGGACCGGACACACTGCAGTCCGAGGCTGGTGCCCGTGACGCTTGGCTAGGCTCTGTGTCTCTGCGTCTCCTCCCCTGTGTTTCCCAGCACCGCGACACGCGCAGGGAAGGGAGGGAGGTGCTGTCCGCGGTAAGAGCTGCTCAGGCGGCAGCTGGGAGAGGTGACGGGTGGGCCAGTGCAGGAAGTACAGTTCTGCTTGTGAGGGGCACGCCGGTGACCCAGGCTGTCCTTGGTAACCGTCGACCTGCACCTGGGATTTGTCTCACTTTTTGTATCTCAGGGTCAGTCTCGTCCACGCATTCCCTCTGCCCCTCGGTCCTTCGCTCCGCGTGCCAGGCGTGCTCCTGGGAGCCAGAGGAGGAGGGGGTGGTGGTGTCCTGGTCCCCAGCCCCAGGATGGTGGCCGCGTTTCCATCGAGGCCATCAGCGGTCCCGGGTTCAGATGGAGCCACTCCCGGAACTGCCGGAAAGAGCCCTCGGAGGTCCTGGGAAGGCTGCCGCCACCCCCGAGGAGCCCTCGCCCTTCAGACAGGTCGGCCCTTTTCCTGCCTCCCTCCCTGCCTGACGCCCCAGCCACCAGTCTCTTCCTCCACCATGAGCAGCGGGCCTGTGGTCTCCCTCCCCACTGCACGGTCTGCACCTCTGGTTCTGCTCCTGCTGGGTCCCCGGGGCCCGGCTCCAACCGCCTGCCCACAGGGGCCGCGTCTGGAGTTTTCGGAACTGCTGCCTCTGCGGTCGTAACCCTCTGCCTGGCTTCTTCCCGGCGATTCCTTGCACCTCGGTCTTCTCCGTGGCCAGCTGGGCACGCCCGGGACCGCTTCGTTCCGCCTCGGGCCTGGCCCAGAGCTTTGTCCTCAGGATGGCCACCCGTGCCAGGCGGGCTCCTTGGGGGCCAGGGTGGGCTCTCGGAAGATGTGGAGGCCATGCTCTGGGGCCCCACGTCCCGGCCTCTGGGTTGCCCCTTCCGTGGCTGGTGCCACACTCGGCGGTTACCGCGCCGTCTTCTGCCTGCTCTGAGGCAGGTGAGCTCCGTGCAGGCGAGACCCGGACCAGCGCTGCACGAAGGAGCTTGTGAGTGAGTGAACGGCACAAGCAGAAGTCGTGGTCCAGCCTTGCCGGAGTCGCACGGCGCCCGGCTCCCTCAGAGGCCGGCGGTCAGCACGCGGCGCCTGGCGCCTGACTGCACGCCCCAGGGAGGCGGGGCTCCCCTTCCGCTGTGTGTGAGGGCAGGGCGTCCTGGTGACAGGGAGAGAGGAGACGGGAAGGGAGCAACGCCTGGCGTCACCGAGGGGTGGACTTTGGAGCCAGATGTGCAGGGCCACGTCCCGGCTGCAGCCCCGGCAGCCCCGCCTCCCAGGTTCACGGCCCGGCGGGTGTCTGCTGGAGCTCCTGCCGGGTGCGGGTGTCAGTAAAGATGCCGGGGACCCGGTCCTGGATGAGGCAGCCGTAGTTTCTGTGCTCACGGGGCTAACATCCCCTCCGGCGGGGGAGACGGATGGTGACAGTGAACCATACACCCCGGGACGATGCCTGGAGCGGGGGGGCCTGTGCTGGGGCGGGGGGTTGGCCCCTCGCCAGGCTTGGGGACCGGCCGTGAGCTCGGCGATGGAGTCGGTGTCCTCCCTGCCTTGTTGTGGAACGTGCCTGCCTTCAGGTTTGCAGGCTCCTCGATGGAGGGCCGGGGGTGGGGTTGGGTTCTGGGGGCAACTGCACCGCCTGCCCTGAGCCCGGGGGGCTGGCAGGGGCCGGAGGGGGTGGTGCCTGCGGCCCCGGGGCTGTCCTGTCAGCAGGGCGCCACCTGCCCCACCCCCCACTCGGGCGCCTGGGAGCCCCGCCTGCCCTGCCACCGTGAGCCGGGCCTCCTCACACTCGTGGGGAAACATTTTCGTTAATTAAGTGCTAATGTCTCACAGGCAGCTCCGCAGCTGTGTCACCCTGCGGGCAGAGCGGCCTGCTAATGTGCCAGCACCTTGCACCTCGGGTCCTCCCCGGCGGAACGAGGGTCCTCGGCCGCTCCGGGGGGCCTCAGGGGCCCACAGGCCGGAGCTGGAGCTGGAGGGAGGCCGGCGGGGGCGTCTGCCAGCCCTTCTCTGTGGACGCCTACGTTGGGGTGCCTGCATGCCCACCCATGTATGTGCATGTCCGCCCACACACACAGGCACGTGCTCAGCCACGTATGTGCAAGCCCACAGTGCAGGTGCACACATGTGCACGTTCACACTCGCCCACCCCGAGGGCGTGGGGGCCACTCCATGCCCACTCGACCCATGCCCCCCTCTTGCACACTCGGACCCCCCCCCCACGGTGACACATTTGTGTCCTCGAGGTGGTTATGCCTAACCCCTTCACCGAAGGGCACAGCCTCTCTCCTGAAGTCTGTGTCCTTGGGTCGCAGGTCACGGTGTCCAGAGGCGGTCACTGGCCTGGCTCTGGGCTGAGCCTCCCGGGAACATAGGGGGCGGGGCTGCGTCCTCCTCCGGCCTCTGAAGGTCGCTGCCCCTGGGCTCGCGGGTCTTTGCTCCCCGTGGGAGCAGCCCCGAGGGGCCACTCGGACTGTGCGTGCTGCGCGGTCAGGGCGTGAGCAGCCAGCCTCTCTGCGCCGACGGACCCCAGAGCTCCTTGCTGCACTTCCAGTCAAGGTCAGGCTCCTGCCTGCCTCTCCGCGACACCCACGGTGCGCATCCGCTGCGTTCCTCCTCTGAGCCCTTGACCTCCCCCTTCCTTTCTCCGGTGACCTGGGCCACCGTCTCGGCAATGCAGGTGCAGACACAGGGTGGGATTTGCGGTCTGACCTGTCATTTGTTCTGTGTGCTCTTCCTTTTTGTTTTGGCTTCTGGGAAGCTCAGAGCCACATGTGGGCTCTCCGGTGCCGCCCACATGAGGTCTCTGCCCCGGGATGCTGCAGCCCCGTTCAGAACCCCTCCCCCGCATTTCCCCGTATGTTCGTGTTGTCTTGTCGAGTGTGCATGTTTCTTGTGGCGGCCCCCACCCTTCTCGGAGCCCTGCAGGGTGTGGAGCAGGGGCGCCCCGTCGTCCCCCGGCTCACCTGTGCGGGTCTTCGTCTAGTGGGATGAGCCCCGAGGCTGGGGGACACTGGGCCAGTTCTTGGCAAATGGTGCCCAGAATGCCTCCAGGACGGCCAGCTTCCCCGGGAGCAGGTGGCATTGGCCATGCCTCTCCATCTGGCGTTCACGGGCACGGAAAGGAAAGGCGAGGAGGCTATCGGGGAGGAAACGGCCCAGGGCGGGGAGGACCGGCCGCGTCCCACACGCTGGGCGTGGAGCTGGGTGACCAGGGCAGGAGGGATCCTGAGCGGCCCCCGCGGGTTTCCCTGGCCCGGTCACTGGCTCACCTGTCCGCACACCGCCCCCACTGGGTGCCAGGCGTCAGGGTTACGGGGGGGGAGCAAGTGGGGAATGTCATTGCCTTGGTGTCCTCCTGGTCACTGAGTCCGCAGGGACAAGTTCTGAGCTGAGACGCCCCTGGCTCGTCCGGGATGAGAAGACCTCCTCCTGGGCTTGCCCCGCGGACCTCCTGGGGCCACAGTCCCCGGGCACGCTGCTCGTGCCTCACTGAGAGCGAGCGGGCAGGAACACATCCTGGCCGGTGACTCTTGTCTTGGTCCCCTCACTGCGTCTTGGTCTGGGTGACAGATGTATGTGGTCGCCCTAGCAGCTTAGAGGTGCAGAGCCGTCTCTGGGGTTAGGCCTCGCACCTCGGCGTCTCTTGCTCGGTGACAGCTGACAAAACGGCACTGCCCAGCGTGGCCAGCTGTCCCGTGGACGCGATGGCCACATCTGCCCTGGAGGCCCACTGTGGGGGGAAACAGCGCCTCCTGGAGGTGGGGGTCACAGGCCTCCGGCCTCCCCTCGCCGACGGCGGGTGGGTGGCCGCCTTCGTCTGCAGGACCCTGGGGCGTCGGTCCGAGCGCCTGTCGGGGACTCGGGTCCCCTCACTGACCCTCCCCAGGAGGGGTTGGGGCCCCTCGGGCGTTTGTGCCTGAACTGCAGCCTCAGCTCTGGCCGTCAGGTGGGGGTCGGGGAGCTGGGGGAGCCGCCCTGCCCTGTTTCACACGGCTCTGCCCCTCCCTGTCTCCTTAGTCACATTTTCTCTGGTCCCGCTCGCTGGGAAAAAAAATTAGTGCACCTCACACAAGTCCCGCCTGCCCGCACTCGGCCCGTGCTGTTTGTTCTGTGCGCCGACCCACCCCAGCTGGGCTTCCCGTCTGCTCGCCCGCATCTGCCTTGTGTCCCGTCACTGTGTGCGGGTCGTGTGTGTGTGTGGGGGGGGGGGGACAGTGACCCTGCGGTGCCCTGCCCGTGGGTGAGAGGGTTGCCGCCCGTCTCCTGGGGGCGCACCCGTGCCGTGTGCTTCCTTGGACCCCGTCTCTCTGCACCCCACAGGGAGGACAGAACGGCCTCGTTTTCTGAGCAACGTGGCATCGGGCTGTCCACTCAGGGACGTACTCCGCCGCTGCTCACCGAGGGGCACGGCCGGGGTGTGCCGCACCGCAGCAGAGCCGGTGTCGAGCGGCCCCTGGGGCAGGGTGCCCGCGCCGAGTCCCCGCAGGAGTGGAGGGCCGGGGGCTGGACCTTGTCTGGACAGGAAAGGACAGGCTCCTGGAGGGAGGCAGGCTCTGCGGAGCAGCCGAAGCTTGCAGGGCACAAGTGGGGGGCGTGGCACGTGCAAAGGTCCTGGGGTCGGAGGGACTTCTTCCCGGAATGCAGTTTCTCCAGATGGCCCTGGCTGAAGGCGGGGTTGGGCGAGGACCTCCAGGGGGCTGGGGAGGGGCTCACAGGAGGGAACTGCGGCCACCCACCCGCTCATAAGCTGCCATGTGGCCCCCGTGGGTGCCCCTGGCTGGTACGAGCCTCCAAAGGCCTCTTGAGCCCCAGGCCCCAGAGAAGCAGGGCGGCTCCTCGGGGGACCCTGCAGGATGGGTGGTCACTTGCGTCGGCCCTGCTTTCATCCTGCAGATGAGATGGACCCCGCCCCCCCGGCGCGCTCGGGGTGCCTGGTCCCAGGCCCGCGGACGCCCCCCGCGAGGAGGAGCAGCAAGCTGGCCACCCTGGGCAGGATCTTCAAACCCTGGAAATGGAGGAAAAAGAAAAACGAGAAGCTGAAGCAGACGACATCCGGTGAGCACGGGGCTGGGGCCCGGCGTCACGGCCACCGCGTGCCAGTGGCCAGCGCGGTCTTCCCGGCCCGCACCGGAGGGCAGGCCACGCTTGGCGGCTTGTGGCAGCCAGGGGCAGCTGCGCCACCTCAGTTTAGGGTCACCCCCCTCCTCGGGTCCTGCCGGGTCCCACCCACCCAGCCAGGACACGTCAGCACCCAGACCCTAGGGGCCCACGTGTCCCCCGGGACCTTGTCAAAGAGGCAGGGCCGCCTGCCCCAAGACCCCGGCTTCTCACAAGCCCCCTGCCCCACCCACTTTCCTGGCGCTGGGCCCCGGGGCCCGAAGAGCAGCTGGTGGTGCAGGGGTGGGCCTCAGCCCTGAGCTCTTCCCGAGGGCCTCCCACTGGGGAACCCGCGCCCCCACGCCCGCCCTCCCTCTGAGGACCCCGAGGGACCCCCACTCGACTCTGCCCGCTTGCTTACACCCGGCCTCCCCGGCTCTGGGGGAGGCTGGGTTGCGCCCCTCGCAGTCCCTGCTGGGAACAGACCGTTGGACTGGACGGCAGGGCACGCACGGTGACTGCAGCAAACTGGCCACGACGGCAGGTGGTGACGGCACGCTTCCGGCCGGGAGGACGTTCAGCACTGTCCCGAAGGGGCGCTGAGTTGGTTCTGCTCCCCAGTGGGTACCCCCAGCCCTTGCCCAGCCCCTGGCACATAGTAGGTGCTTAGTAGACGATTGTGAACAAATGGACCAACTTCAGTGCCCTGACCCCTGTCCGCTGCTGCTGAACTTGAAGCTGTGGCAGGCGGGCCGCTCTGTTAGGTGCCCCTGCAGCCGCTCGGGCAGAGCACTTGCCTGTACACGCGGGCGGCACGCAGGCGTGGCAGCCGGCACACTGCGCCTTTGAAGGCGAGGGTCTCAGGACTGTGTGGGTTCGTGTTTGGAAATTGGGGTCAACTGCAGGCAGACAGTGTTTGGACAGCTAGAGGAGAGAGAGAGCATGAGAGTGAGTTGCTGAGTGCTTCCCTCTGGTTCCGGGGGTGGGGGCAGGAAGGGTTCTCCCAGGGAGGAGTCCCCCCCACCCCCGCAAGCCTTGGTGCCTGCACTGGGGGCCTGGGGGGCGGGACTTGGCCCTCCCCGCTCCCCGAGCCTGGTGAGTTCTTTGAAAGCATTAACCTGGGGGTGTGGAGGGCGCTCTGGGGCACGGCCGCACAGAGGCCGCCGCATTATGAACGGAGAGCGGTCAGGATGTGTTTTAACAGCCGACAATAGGAACCGCAGAAGAGCGCCCTGGGGACTGGGGGCAGAGGGAGGCCAGTGTGGGGCTCCTTCGTTAAGGGGCGTGTGGCAGAGGGCATCTGGGGGCGGGGTGCCTGCTTGGAAAGTGTCGGTGAGGAGGCTGGGGGCTCCCCAGTGCAGCCCCCCTGGGGACCGGGCCCTGACCCCACCTCACCTCACCTGCCGCCTCTCTGTGTCTTCTGGATGCCGCACCCCGGCTCCCCGGCTGCGTGTGTGTGCACAGTGCTGGAGAAGAAGGCGGCCGGCCGGCAAGGTCGGGAGGAGCTCATCAAGAAGGGGCTGCTGGAGATGGTGGAGCAGGGTAAGTGGGGGCAGGGGTCGTGGTGGGGCAGGGGTCGTGGGGCCGGGAAGTGGGCGGTCCCTCCCGGGAGTCCCTCCCGGGCCCAGGAGCCGTCAGGCGGCGTGGAAGTTGGGGAAGTCCGGTGTCCTTGTGTGGCGCTGGACCCCCCCAAGCTAGGGCCTCCACAGTGGGAGCCACGCCCGAGTCACGGCCCTCGGGCTCAGCCCCTAGGGCCTCCGAGAGCCCGTCAGGGAGTTGGGCGCCAGCTCGGAGCAGTCACCTTCCGGGGGGCTGGGGGGCTGCCTCGTCGGACGGGACGATGCCCACGCTGCATCTGGTGCCCACAGACCTGACTCCGGATCCGGGGAAGGGGGCGAAAGCAGAGAGCTGAGGCCCGTGTGTCAGCTGTCGGGGAGAACGGGGTCGCCGGTGACCGGGGACTGAATGGGGACAGGGACCGACCCCTGGGAAAGACGGGGGGCGGGGCACTAAAGAAAGAGGCTTCTGGAAGGGCAGCTCGCGTCCCCGGAGTGAGAGCCTCTGTCTGACGGGCAGAGAGCACAGACTCGGGGACAGACTGGGGCGGCAGGGTGACTGCCAGGCCGTGCGGCTGCTGGGGCTCCCGGTCCCCGCACGTGTGACGACGCCCCGCGCAGGTCAGCCAGCCCTCCCTGCGGAGCATTGGGTGGCTGGTATTTCGGGCCCGGGGGGCCACAGGGTCCCCGTCACGACTGCTGACTCGGCCACAGGCGAGGGGACGCTGACGTACACAGCAGCGTGGCCGTGGCTGCCGCAGGACACACTTGTGGGTGGTGAAGTTGGGTTTTGAGTAACTGGTGAACTAGGAGAGTCCCTTTGACCTTTCGAACTGTGTGAGGGGGCGGGGCCCCTTTTCGCTCAAGCAAGGGAGCAGATGGGGGCTAGGGTTTGCCCTCCCCCCTCCCCCCTCCAGGGGGCAGGCTGGCGGCAGCCTCTCTCTCTCTGAGTGATCACATACCAGGACCTGGAGGGGCCTGAGATGCGATGTCTGTTTTTCGGGTGTCGCAAATGCACTTCCTACTTAGTACGCCGGCGTGTCCTGGAGGAGCACCTGCCTACGTGCAGCGCGGTGCTGGCTGCTGGGGGCACAGCTGGGCCACGCGCCGCCCGCTCAGGACGCGCAGCGAGGGGGACAGGCGGCCAGCAGTGTGTCTGTGACTTGGTCCAGGGGCCGGGGGCTGGGGAGGGGGTTCCGTGAGCGCAGCTTTGTGACGCACTCTGGTGTTTTGGAGTCCCAGTGGAGAGGAGTCTGGTGCCGCCCAGGCCAGAGGCACCCGGAGCACTGGACATGGGCGCCTGCCCGGCTGGCTGGCCACGTGCCGCACGGGAGGGCCGCCCGGGCAGCTCTGACCCGGAGCGCTGTGGAGCGGCTCCCACGCTTTCCGGCCCTCCCAGCCGCTGGTGTGCGGCCCCGAGGAGCAGGGCCCCGTGGTGGGAAGAAGCAGGGTGCCCCGTGAAGTGAGCTGAGGGGAGGCGGGTGGGGTGCCTGGGGGTGGGAGCCGGGACCTGGCGCGGCAGTGGGATCCAGCAGCACAGTGCGTCTGTCCCTCCTTTCCAGCGTGGCCGGAGCCACGATGGTCACAGTCTCTGGGAAGCAGCCGGGCACCTCCAGGCCTCAGCAGGGGCTCAGGGCAGCCCCGGGGCCACAGGGAGGGGTCTGCAGGCAGCCTGCCTGGGGCTTCGCTGGGCTGGAGGGTGTGCTAGAGGGCAGGCCCCAGGCGCTGCCTCCGGGAAGGGGCCTGGCGTCTTCGGGGAGCGGAGTGGAGGGTGGTGCACTGAGCCGGGACAGGTCCTCCGGCGTTCTTGCTGCGTGTCCCCTCCCTGGCCGTGCTCTGGCCGTGGGACTTGGGGGCACGTTCACGGTGGACACCTCCTTGCCCTGGCATTCCTGTCGTGCGCCTGCTCGGAAAGGGCCCTTGCTGGGGGCAAAGCGAAGCTCAAGGTCAGGGCGTGGGTAGGCCTCAGGGGGACCTGGGTTGGGACAGCGAGTCCTGCTGGGTGACAGGGCTCTGGAGCCCTGAGTCCCGAGTCTCCCGAGTGGGCAGCAGCTCTGAGTGGGAATGCAGCTCCCCTGCCCCCAGGGGGGCAGCTGTGGTCTCCTGGGTTTGGGTCATGGGGTCTTCCTGAGCTGCAGCATCTGCTCCCAACCCGCCGCACGGCCCTGCAGCCAGGGGTGCCATTCTGTGGCCACAACAGTGTGGATGCTTAGAGGCTGAGCAGGCGACAGAAGTTCCCACAGGCTCAGGCCACAGACCCTCCCAGAGCCACCCATGTCCTTAGCGGCTCCAAGACCTCAAACTTAAGATTTGTTGGCCAGGACAGACCCCGGGAGGGAGGGACGGCTCTCTCACCCACCCACTCACGTGTAAGCAGACACCCTGGAGTTTGCCCGTGCAGCGGTCACCGGCGTGACCCTGGGAGCTGACCCCCAAGGCCTGTCCAGGGCATGGTTTTCCCTCCGTCCTCTGGGGGGGCTGATTTTATGATGCATCCACACTTGCGTTTTATGTCCCATCTCGGTTCCTGGGACCCCGGGAAGGACTGTTTGTGGGACGGACCCGCTGGGATCAGGTCTGCAGGGGGAGGGGCCCCTTTCTTCTCTCTCTCCGTCTTCACGGCTGTGGCCGTCCTTCTCTGACACGAGTGACGGGTGCGGGCCGGCCCCCGCCCCTCTGCACGGCCCCCCCAGGGCCGTGAGCGAGGGCAGGAGCCAGCGGGGGTCTCTGCCAGACGCTGCTGCGTGTTCCTGGGCCACTCCGCTTGTGCCCCCGCGGCGTTTCCCTGAAGGGTTCCAGGAGTGCACGCCCCGGAAAGGGCCTCTTGCTGGGGGCAAAGCCAAACTCAAGGTCAGGGCCTAGGTACGCCTCAGGGGGTCCCATCCGTCACTGGCCGAGAGAGACTTGTCACCCCGCTGGCGTCCTGATGACCCGAGAGACACAGGGAGCTTCCCTCAGGGGAATGGGGTGGCGGCAGCGGGGCTGTCTGGTCCCCGTGCGGCCGGGAAGCCGGGGCAGTGCGTGCATGGGCGTGCTTGCGGGCGCGGTGTGTGCGTGCACCGTGTGTGCCGGCGTGTGTGTGGCGCACCCCCTCTCCCTGGTCACGCTGCGGACCGCACGGGCTCAGCCCCACGCTCCGCTCTGCGGCCTGGTTCTCAGGAGGGAAAGGGCAGTGTGGAAACGGGGCGGGAAGGGGGGCCGCGCCCACGGCTCTCCACCCCCACCAGCGTTTCCTAGCAACCGCCCTGCCACCAGGGCTATTTTGGGAACTGTAACTTTTCATTGAGCAAGATTAAGGGCTGCAGCTCTGAGCCCGCCCAGCTGAGGAAGCGGGGGCGGGGGGGCGTTCGGGGCCTGCGCTGTGCCGGGGGCAGCTCTGTGGAGTCCCCGGAAGCCTGGAGACCTCGGGTCCTCCGGGCCCGGTGTCCCCGCCGGCTCGTTCCCGGTGTGCAGGCTGCTGAGGTGAGGGACCGTCGTCACTAACCGCATAGCGGTCCCAGCAGGATGGCCTGCGCCCTCTCGAACTCGCTGGCACTCTGGGGTGGGGGGCCCCCCTGCTGCAGGACCCGAGGACAGCAGGCAGAGAGGCTCCTGGCTCCTCGTCCCTCCCCCACCGCGGAGGGGAGCGGCGTGGAAGCAGGTCTTTGGGCCCGGGGGGCGTCCCCACGGCTGCCTCCCGGCTGCGAGAATGCTTGTGGGTCATACAGCCCCTCCGCTCTGTGATGGCCGGCAAACCAACTGTGGGGACTGAGGGAGGCCTGCAAGGGACAGTGACCTGGGTCTCAGAAGGGGGGCTCTGTCAGCTGCTGCGTCTCCCAGCCTGGACCTGCCCCCTGGTGGCTATGCGACCTGACCCTGGCATTAAACTCCTCAGTGCTGGGCCTCACCGTCAGTAAGATGTGACCCTAAGGGGTCAAGGCCAGACCCTCAAAGGCTCCAGCAGCTGAGCCCCAAACAAGGGCAGCCGGGTCTCCCTCTCAGCCCTGCCAGGGGCCTGGAGCCATTTTTCTGGGATGGCTGCCCGTCTGCACCCAGGGGCCCCGTGCTCTGTGACACACTCAGCCCTTGGCGGTCCCCTGTTCCTGGGCGGGTGAGCCTGAGAGTGGAAGCCCACGGGGGTGAGGATCGTGGCCCGTTCCTTTCTGCCTCCCCGGGTCTTAGGTGCCCGGTGTGTGTGTGTGTGTGGTGGGTTACTGAGAACCGTTTGTGTAAGGGGACCGCTGTGGGGAGGTGGGGGCAGAGTTGAATCTGTTCTCTGTGGCCACAGTGACGTCACCTAACAAACACCCTGGCACCTTGGGGGCAGCTCAGCCCTGCCCCACCTGCCTCTCGTCCTCCAGCTGGCCAGCCAGGAGTGTCCTCTGGGCAGGGGCGCACAGGAGCAGCTGGCATGCGAGCATTTTTGAAGCCACTGAGACCTGCTAGCGCCTCACTAACCGAAGCAGCCCCGGGGCAGAGTGCAGGGACGGGGCGGAGGGGCCCCCGGGGGGACAGGTGCGGGTGGCGGCCCGTGCCCCGTCTCCACGGGGACAGGTGCGGGTGGCGGCCCGTGCCCCGTCTCCACGGGACTGGAGGGGAGTGCACAGGCAGGTGTGAGGGCAGGGGCCGAGGCGACGACAGGGGTACCCAGGGACTTGGGTGTGGGGGGCAGGAGTAGGACACCGCACAGGGTCCTGGGGAGGGACACGGCCCGGTGAGGCCCTGGCCGCGTGTGGAAGCAGGAAGGGCGGGCAGGCCAGGCTGACAGCCGAGTTTCCTTGCAGATGCTGAAAGCAAGGTGGGCAGCCCTGGCGGAGGCCCCCGAGCCGCGCAGAGTGAGCCACCCGCCCCCGGGCAGGAGGCCCAGGCTCCGGAGGATGCCCAGCCGGGAAGGCCCCCGGCCGCCGGGACAGAGCAGGCTCCCCTGGACCGGCCGCTGTCCGCGGACAGCCACGCGGATGACGCAGGTATCAGCTGGCGACTGTGTGGGCCGACCTGCTCCCAGGGTGGCCACCGGCCAGGGCCATCGGGAGACCATCCTCAGAGGCCCCCGGCTTGAGCCCTGCACACTGCACCCCGAGGTTGGGTGCAGGTGTGGCCGGAAGCTCTCCCTCCTCCACCTCCCCGGGTCTGCACAGCCAGTGAGAGGTGCTGCCCACGATCCCGGGGGCTTTGGAGCAGCAGACTTTCCCCCTCGGGGCTGGCGTCCGGTGGCAGCGTCTTCACTGGGCCCAGGACCCCCGGGCAGGACACGGGTGTGGCAAGTCGCACAGCAGGGGCTGCCCCCTGCCCAGAGCCCAGCCTGTCCTGAGAGGGGGGTGGGGGCCTCCCACCCGCATGGCGCCCAGGTGGGGGGTGGCCGCTCCTCGCTGCTTCTCCACCAGGTGGGCTCGGTGCCCGGCCCCAGGCCTCTCCCCGCCCCTCCGTGAGATGGGCCTGAGTCGAGGGAAGGACTCGGCCCAGTGTCTGCCTCCCTGAGCAGTTACTGGTGCGGCTGTGAGCGGGGGTGGGGGGTCGTTTCCAGTTGAGTGGGTGTGATGGTTGCCAGCTGGGGGGGTGGGGCGATGAAAGGGGGGGGTGGGAGGAAGGCAGGCATGCGCCCTGCGGAGAAGCCTGCGGGTGCTCTGGGGCGACCATCCCCCTACACCTCTGACCGGCCAGCGGCCATCCCGTGGAGCAGCGGGCCCGTTCCCTAGTAAAGCCGCAGCCGTAGGCGTGTCAGGCACAGTGTGGGCGCTGAACTTGAACTGTGTCCTGCACTTGTGGGCGGTCGGAAACCCAGGCCTGGAGGAGGACAGCCCACGGGTGGGGCTTCTGCTTCGCAGCTGGGTGGGCATCTGTCCTCCGCTGCCGCTGCTGCCCGGCGCACACCTGTGCCGCTCGCCGCCGCGCCCGTCCCTCCCCAGCGTCCCTCCAGCGTGGCGGGCACCAGCCACCAGGGGCCACCCCGACGGGACCCCACATGAGTTAGGGGTGGAGGAATTGTGGCCGTGGGACAGTCCCACCCTCCTCTCAGGGGTCCTCCCGGGAAACTGGACACCGGAGTCCTGCAGCAGGAGTCAGGGGGTGGAGGTGGGTGGGGTCCTGACAGCTGAGCGGAGCGCTGCCGCCCTGCCCCCCCCCCCCGCCCCCCGGGGCTGCCCCCACGGTTTCTGGAGCGCAGAGTCGGGTGCAGGACCTTCGAGGGTGGGGCGGGCCGTCGAGCCTGCGGGTCGTCTCCCAGAGTGGTGGGAGCAGGGGGGCTTCCGTGACTCCTGTTCCCCGACCCGGGCTCCTCCTGGGGTTTCTGGGACCACGTGGGAGCCTCTGCTGAGTGTTGAGTGGGTGGGCAGCGCCCTCTGCTGGCCAGGGCCAGGCAGGGAGGCCCAAGGAAGATATCCCCAGATCAGGGCAAGTGCGGAGCTCACTCTGTCGTCCGAATCCATTTTTTCTTCCTTACACCGTTTGAGACTTAAAGGGGCGTTACAGTTTCAGGTTCAACAGGATTCCAAGCTACTGCGGCGGCTACAGGCACTCGGGGGGAATGCAGGGGAGGTGTGGGCTTAGCGAGTGAGGTGCAGCCCCTCAGACAGGCCGGGGCGCCGGGGGTCACCGCGTGGCGAGTGTGGGTGAGTGAGGGGGGAGTCTTAGGAGGAGGGTGGGGGCTGAGCGGCTGGGTCGTGGTGTCCCAGGGCCTTCGGAGCAGAGTGGGGAAGCCATGTTCCACTTGGGGCTCGTGGGGAGGGGCACCTCCGTGGACGGGTGGGAATCCCTGCTGCGGGCTCTCGGGCTGAGCGGGTGTGGGTGTGGCCGCTGACCCCTGGAGACCCAGAGCCGTCCCGCCCGGCCGTCACCCACTGTGAGGACACCCTTGGGGTGTGGCTGTTGGTTAAATAAACCGGAGTCCGGCTCTCGGTCACACCGGCTGTTCATCGGGTGCTCACCAGCCGCAGGCGGCTAGTGGCCCCTGTGGAGGGCAGGGAGGGAATGCCCCCATTGGCTCCAGGTCCCTCTGGGCAGTGCTGGGGGCCAGGGCCGCTGCTGAGATGGTTGAAGGGCAACGAGGAAGGGGCCCACGGGATGCGCAGCACACACTCCGCTGAGTTTCGGGGCACTCCCCACGGGCAGGGACCCCGCCCGGCTCCGGCGGCATGTGCGGTTAGCACCACGGACAGCGCCCTGCTCTGTGGGTGAGGGGCGGGGCTGCCAGGCCGGGTCCCCAGTGGATGATGGGCCCCACCCCAACTTGGGGACCGGCGGGGCGAGGTGGTTCTGGGTGTCAGCACCTCCCCAGGGGCGTGAAGACGGGACAGCAAGGGCCTCGCCTGGGCCTGGGCGGCAGGGTCCTGAGGTGGGGGCAGGAGGCTGCCTCCCGGGGCAGGGTGGGCGGGGAGGGGGCAGGCAGGTGTCGAGGACAGTCGGTCTGTGTTAGAGGAGTCGGGCGGGGGGTGGGGGGGGAAGGGCCTACCCAACGGCCTCCATTGTTCCTTCGTGAAGCTGGAGGCGGAGCAGAGGGCCCAGGGCGGAAGTCCTGGCGTGGCCTGGCCTGGGGCTTCCCTGTCGCCCCCCCTCGGGGGTGGGGCGCTGCAGGCTTCACCCGGAGGTGGGACACCCATCCAGTTCGGTGGGGAGGGAGGGGGCGGGGCTTGGGGGTGTGGGTGAGGTGGGCGGGGGACGCTGAGCTGGACAGAGAAGCGGGAAGCGGGAGGGTGGGCTGAGAGAACGTGACGGGGGCCAGGGTGTGGGCGGCGCTCAAGGGTCTGGAGGAGCTGCCCCAGGGGAGCCTGGACCGGTAGCTGCAAGTGGCGGGTGGGGTGGGGTGGGGTGGGGTGGGGTGGGGGCCCCAGCAAGCTGATCCCTGCCCCCCACCCTCCACTGCCTATCTGGCGTGCCGGGGGGGTGGTGGTGCTGCTGAAAACTGGCGTGGCCTCAGTGCCCGTGGACCGGGAGGCTCTGCCGAGTGCCGGGCACACAGCTCGTCGCCGCCTCACCTAGCGGGGGACTCCCGTTACTGGTCACGCACAGCTGGGCAAGGGTGCACGCAGGTGCAGGGGGGCTTCGGGACCTCTCCACGGTCACAGAGGGAGCCCAGGGCCCGCCTGGAGCCCAGGTGTGTCTGATCCCAAGACCTGTGACGGCGACCCCCACCCAGGCCAGGTGGGAGCCTTGGCGCCCCCTAGCTGGTGAAACGGACTGGCTCTGGCTCCCCGAGTTTTCCTCCCCTCTCCCTCTCTGCGTGGGGTGGGCAGTTCTGTCGACAGCTGAAGGCGCGGGAAGTCAAGTCTGTGTGCGAGGTGCCCTCCTGGTGTTTGGTCCCCCGTCGTCGGCCGCCCCTCCCGCCCCCGCAGCCCTTGCCCTCGCCCACCGGTCAGAGGAACCACGCTCTGGGAGCTCTCTGTTTGCTTGTGACGCAGCCAAGACGCCCTCGGCCTCCAGAGGTGGAGGAGCAGACGCTGCCAGCGGCCTTCCGCCTCCCACCGACGAGGCCCCCCAAGCCTTAGCTGGGCCCAACGCCCTGGACAGTCCTCCCGGAACCCTGGAGAGGCCCATGGTGGGCCAGCTCCCCAGCCCCCCGCTGCTGCCCACCCCGCCGCCCAAGGCAGGCGCCAAAGCCGCAAAAAGCATCACAGGTGGGTCCTCGTGCATCACCCCTCCCTCTCTCCCTCCCTTCCATCTGTCCATCCATCCATCCGTCCGTTGGTCAGTGCCTCCGCCGCCCTGGCCGGGCCTCCCGCTGGGGGCCAGCTGTCTCGCCCTCGGCGTCGGCAGGCTGTGGGCGGGGGCGGGCGGGCGGCAGAGCTGGGGGCAGGGGGGCTGTCATCAGCGAGGCCCCTCCAGCACGAGGGGCAGGAGGCCTGTGGAGCAGGAGACACAGCCAGGCCCAAAGGAGGCCTTTCCCTGTCTGCCTGGTGAGGGGGTCCTGCGTCTCCCCCTCCCTCTTGGCCTCCCTCGCCCAGTCTCTCCCCGAGTCTGGTCGTCTCTGTTTGCTGACTAGTTGTTGCCCTGGCAAGCCTGGTGCCGGCGGGCAGGTTCGAGTGGGTCCAGAGAGGGGGGCACGTGGCCGGGCCAGCTGAGCGGTCCCAGATGGCTGAGACAGCGGTATCCAGATGCCGCCGGTCCAGGAAAAGCTGGCCCCTGGCTGGGGGCGGGGGGAGTCCGGGAGAACCCTGACTGGCAGCCTCGGGGCAGAGGGCGTGGAGGCGAGGGCGCTCTGCTGCTCTGCTCCAGGTCCCCGCCCGTCACCTGCTGCCCGCCCATGACGCTGCTGCCTCCACCTGCCGGGCGTGCACCAGCCCAGGCACCCCAAAAAAACCCCGATGCGCAGGTTTGTTCGAAGTGCTCAGGGGGCAGGGCAGGTGCCCGACTGGCGCTGGAGGAAACTGAGGGTCGGGGGCTCCAGCCCATGAAGGCCAGGACCAGTCTGGGGCCCAAAGCGCCCCTCCCCCCACTGTCCCTGCCGGAATGTTCCCTTCTCTCAGGTCACAGGGTCAGCGCACCCCTGTCCCTCCTCCTGGGAGCCTTTCCCGGCCAGAACCGCACGGCCCTCACGCCCCTGGCCGGCCGGCGTTCGCTGGGTCCTTGCCCTGTGTGGACGCACGAGGGGGGCGCTGGTCGGCGGTGCCCCCACTGCTGCGGGGGTGGGGCGGGAGCAGAAGGGACAGAAGGGACAGAAGGGGGCTGCGGGCTGCGGGCTTTGGCCCAGATCTCTCGCAGCTGAGACTCCGTTGGGGAGTTTTGTCTTTTTCCCACTGCCCTCTTCCCATTCCTTCGGGGAAATGTTCGCTTCACCCCGTGAACACTAGGTGGCAGCAGAGGAGGGGAAAGGCCCCTCGCCTGGGCTCACTGGGGGCTGGGGGGGCCCTCCTGCCTGGGAGGCCGGCCCAGGGCTTCCCCTCTCTGCTGCCTGCCACTCCACAGCCCCCTCCCCCACACCCTGGCCTTGCTGTGCTGGGCCCGTACGGCGTTCCGTTTTTAAACAGGGTTGCCAACAATTAAAACGTGATTAAAGTATATTGGGGTACTAGATATTAACGTGTACAAAAACGTAGGAAAATTTTTACCTTTAACCCACATGTCTGGCTTTTCTGGCAAAGAGCGTGAGGCTGTGGTGTTTGGTCAGGAACCGGTCCCGGAGGGAGGGGCAGGGCCTCACCAGGCGCCGTGAGGGCGAGGTCATCGTATCCAGCAGACCTGGGTCGCAACAGCCCCATGAGGGTGGGCAGGCTCCCCTGTGTTTGCCCTTGTACTTGGGCGTGGCCTGCTCCTCGGCCCCTGCGCTTCCCCTGCCTGGACCCTGGGGACTCAAGACTTAACCCTCAGGGCCAGCTGCCCTGGCCCTGGCCCTGCCCCTGCCCACTGGGTGATGGCCAGCTCCTGACAGGGAGTCCTTTGGCCCCTGCCGAGTACCCCTGGGGTCAGCGCCGGGGTGCCAGGGTCCAGTCCCTGCCCTGGGGAGGCATGACCTGGACACGGCTTCTGAGCATCAATGTCCCCTCCTGAGGTGTGACAGGGGGTCCCCTGGGCAGGTGAAGGGCTCAGCTGTGCGGCATTTGTCCGGTGTGTTTACAGGGGACAGTGGCCCCCGGGGGGCATCTGAGCTGGGGGGGGCCTCTAGGGGCCGGTGTCCCGGCGGATCCTCACCCGTGTCTCCGCTGCCCCGGCCCCGCCCCCGCCCGCTCACGTTCTTGGCGGTCCTCTCGCCCCAGGCCAGGCCGTGCTCTTCCAAGATGCCAGCGGGAAGAACACGGACCCTCCCGTCCGAGGACAGCTGTCCACGCCCACGGGGTCTCCGCATCCCTCCACCGTGCACCGGCCGCTGCCCCCCAGCCGCGTCATCGAGGAGCTGCACCGGGCGCTGGCCACCAAGCACCGCCAGGACAGGTAGCTCGGCCCTGGCCCCCCAGGGCCCGTAAGCCGTGGTTCCCCGCGGGGCCTGTCCCCTGGCTGCGCGCCCTGCGCCGCGTCAGCACCTGCAGCTCGCAGTCAGCCTCTCCCGAGGAGCCGGGCCTCTGAGGTCGGCGCCGGGCTCTGGCCTTGGTTGCCACGTTCTGTGAGGGGCCTGTGGGAACCTGGCTATGAAGCCCCCGCGTTTCCCCAGAGGATCCTAGGGGTGGGGTGCGGGGCGGGGGTGCTTCACCAGAGAGGCCCCTGAGGGCAGAGGCCGGTGTGCCGGGGAGCCTGGTTCCAGGGCTTGGAGCGTGTGACAGAGAAGCGAGCTGCTGCTGGGCCGAGCAGGCGGCAGGACGCGCCCAGGGCGTGGTGGAAGCGCGGACGAGCAAAATGCCCTTCCCGCTGCCCCGAAGCCCTGGTCTGAGCGCCGCCGTGGCAGGCTCGGTGGCAGGCGTGGGCACTGCTCAGACCAGCGCGTCCTCCGCGCCGCGTGCCCACGACTAGGAGCCGTGTGAGCGCCGGTGGCGCTGCTCGTCCTGCGTGTGTGAGGCGGAAGCCAGCCGGCCAGCCTCTCTGGTACCGGGCGCCGTCCCTGCGGCGTCCGTGGTTGGCCCCTGTCAGCCCCGCGGTGTTTCCGGGTGGCAGGGACCACATGTGACGTGTCTGCCCCTCTGACTCAGCTTTCAGGGCAGGGACGGCAAGGGGTCCCCGAAGAAGCGGCTGGACGTCCGCCTGTCGAGAGCGTCCAGCGTGGAGCGGGGCCGGGAGCGGGAGGAGGCCTGGAGCTGCGACGGCGCCCCGGAGGGCACGCGGGCGGCGGCCGCGGAGTCGGAGGAGAACAAGGAGAACCTGCTGGTGCGCGCGGAGCTCCCGGACGACCTGCTGCTGTACCAGGACGAGGAGGCGCTGAACGACTCGGTCATCTCCGGTGAGCGGGCGCGGCCGGCCGGGGCCCTCGCTTTCTTTCCGTGACGGCACGTCAGCTTCATGTGCGTCTGAGCAGGTGGACGCCACCCCACCACCGGGTGACTTGGAGAGCTCAGTCCTCGGGGCGACGCGGCAGAAAGTAGGAATGCCCATGTCCCCGGAAGCCCGGGGCTCGGAGGGGTGGCCACGGCACCGACAGGAGAGTGGGGTGGGGCCTGAGGGACAGTCGGAAGCCCCGCAGACCTGCCCCTGTGCGCGCCCGGGCTCTGCGGTGGGTGGGAGACCCCGCTCCTCGGAGCCATGTCTGAGCTGGGCCCCTGGAGAGCTCGTGGCCCCGTGGACTTCACGCTGGTCTCCCCGATGCACCGGGGAGGGCTGGGGGCCGCTGGGCTCCGAATGTCGGGGCCAGGACCCCAGAGGTCAAAGGGCGGTCTCTTGAGGCAGTCATACGGTTTTTATCCTTTTGTGTTGGTTTGGCAAATGACATTGATTGTTTTTTAAGTATGACAGGTCACCTGCCTCCCCGTTGGTCGTGGTGGACCAGCACTTCCGTGAACTGTCACATTGATTTGCTGAGGTTTTGTTCAGCATTGTACGTCAGTGTCCGTAGGTGCTGCTACTCTGGTTTTCTTTAACGTCTTTCCTGGTTTTGACATCACAGTAAGTTCCTGCTGAGAGTTTAGGTGGCTCCTTCGTTTCCATTTTCTAGGAAAATGTGCGTAGAATCAGCGTTACTTCTCTCTCACTGTGTGTCGTGGACTTGGTCAGGGCGTCCATCCGGCCCTGCAGGGAGTTTGTAACTAACGGTTGCATTTTCAGTGGCGGCAGGCGTGTGCTGGCCACACTTTCCCTCTGGAAGGGGCCCGGACCCTCCGTCCGGCTCAGACGACGTCAGCCCTCCCCCTCCCCCTCCTGGGGTTGGCGGCCCGACTCCCGCCCTCTCCTCTCCAGATAAGTCCGGCCAGAGCGTGATCAACTTCACTGCTCCCCTCAAAGAACCAGCTTTGGGGTTCAAATACTGTCTTTATTGTCTTTCTGGTTTTGATTGTGTTGGTTTTGGCTCCGATCTTGACTGTTTTTCCTCCTTCCTCGGTTTCGCTTTGCCCCCCCTCCCTAGTTAAGGCGGCGCTGCAGGGCGCCGACGGGGGCCTCCCCCCGAGGGAGACACTCGGTGCCCGAGTGCCTGCCCTCCCGAGTCCCTTCATGCTGCCCCCACGGCGCCTCCACGTCCCCCTTCCGACGACCCCGGGGAGCTGTGGGTGATTCAGGAGTTCCCATGTAGTTTCCAAAGAGTTTGGTGTTTTTCTAGAGTTGGTTGTATTGTTGACTGCCAGTTTAACCCCACTGCAGGCAGACGCCGCACGGAGCACGACTTGAGTGCGTTTAAACTTCTAGAACTTGCCGCGTGGCCCGGGATGTGGCTTCCCGCGGCGGACGTTGCACGTGCACTCGAAGGGGTGTGTGTCTTTCGGCTTGGGGACAGCGCGTTCCTCCGAGGGCTGGTCCAACGGCTCGGGCACGGCGGTCACGCCGCCCTGAGCCTCACGCTCTGCGCGTCTGCCTGTTGCGTGGGGGTTCTGAACCCCCGGCCGTGACGGCAGAGGCACCCTTCCCCCCAGCCCCGCCCCCCCAGTCTCTGCACCACAGGCTCGGGCCTCTTGGGAGGGTCACGGACACCGTGGATCACTCTGCCCTCCTGAGGTGGTCCCCTCGCCACTAGGGGGGACCCCCGCGTTGCTCCTGACAAGCCCTTCGCGCTGAAATCCGCCGTGTCTGGTGTCCACGGGCCGCGCCCACTGTCTCCAGACTCATCTCACGGCGGCACCTCTTTCCCCGCGCGCTTTAAGCCTGTTCGTGTCTCTTTACTCATGGCTCCTTACGTTTTAAACCATCATTTTAGAAAGCCGTGTTTAGGAGAAAAATGCGAGAAGCTAAAACTGGGAAGTTAAGTGACTCACGTCTGGCGTTACTACGCCGGTGGAGGGTAACATCGTGCACGCTTACGGAATCAGCCACACACACAAGTGTTTCTGTTTGTATAAATGCGCTTTTCTACACATTGCTTTTCTCAACGACATCGTGACTGTCCTTTTGTCCCCAAGAACAGGTCACCTACCTCCGAGGTAGGTGACAAAACTCAGGTGGTGCAGGTGCCCGTCATTCAGCAGGCCCCTCTTGTTGGGTATCGGGGTGTTGAAGTTCCCGCTGCCGTAGACGAGGCTGGGTGCTTCGTGCGTGCCGCCCCCTTTGCTCTGGGCCTCGGGCTCCTGGGGGCAGGATTTCAGGTCAAAAAAACCAGACGACACGCTGTTTGGGGCCTTCGGGAGGGGGGCTTGCTGGCTGCCTGCGGTCTGGGCAGGAGGGCGGCCCACGCTCCGGTGTGCGCCGGTTCCCCGCTGCCCAGTGCACAACATCCCGCCCGGGGGTGCATGCTCGTGGGGGTGAATCCCCTCAGGCTTTGGGGGGATGCCCTGCTCAGGTTCAGGAGAAGCTCTCATTTTAAGTGATCTGTCTGGGAATTCCCTTTCCTGACTTTAAAGTAGCAAAAGCCTGTGACTCCTGGTGCCTAGGGAGAAAGACCTGACTTGTGTTTGTTGTGGGCCTACTGTGTGCCCGGCTGTGCTCACGGAGGCCGGGTGACGAGCAGAGGAGGGCTTATTCCACACCCAGCTTTCCCGTGGGGCGGATTCCCAGCCCCGTCTAGAGAGCTCTGGTGAGAGGACAAACACGTGTCCCCACAGTCAGTGCCTGGGGGGGGGGGAGGGGGCGGGGGGACAGTGGGACCGCTGCTGCTCGAGAAGCTCCGATACCCCAACCCCGTTCCTGGCGCACGGACAGAAGGTGCTTTTCCACCTGCGACAGTGGCCACTCCCCCAGACCTCACCCGTGCCCGGGCTGCAGCCCACCGGTTCCGGACAAGGCCGCCTGACGGAGCCCAAGTTAACACACACACACACACACACACACACACACCACCCCCTCCCATCTTCACGCAGCAGCAGCCGCCATCGACAGCCTCTGCCCTCACGGACCGGCACCTCCAGAGCCGGCTGCGCCTGGGCTTAGTCTCAGGAGGAGACAGAATAGACCAACAAGACGGGGGTGGGGGGGCGGGGCGGAGCTGACGGGGGCGGAGCTGGTAGCGGGCGTGGTGGGGGTGGGGGTGGGATGGGAGGCCCTGTGGGGGCCCCTTTGAGGAGACGGTTGGGTCCGAGGTTAGCCCCGAGGTTCAGTGAGAGGCGCGCCCCGGATGGTCCAGGCTGAGGACACCCGGGGGCACAGACCGAGGTGGGACGTCCCAGGAGCGGAGACACCCACCTGGGCAGCGGGCCGAGGGCAGCGGGCAGCGGGGAGGGCTGCCGTGGTGACGTGACTAAGCTGTGGTCCGGACGTGGGTGCTCTTGAAGGGAAACGGGGTGGTCTCAGTCGTCCGCCCCAGGGCAGCCGGTGTCGGCCAGCACTGTCCTGGACACCCGGGCGGCGTGGCCGACCCCCAGCCGCGGATCGTGGGAGACGGCGCCATCCCCGTCCCCTGGGGGTCCGCACAAGCTGGCGGCGGCCCCCCAGCAGAGGGGCGACGAGCGGGTGCCTCCCTAACTGCTGTCCCTTCGCTGCCCCCCCCCCCCCCGCCGCCCAGGAACGCTGCCCAGGAAGTGCAAGAAGGAGCTGCTGGCCGTGCGGCTGAGGAACCGGCCCAGCAAGCAGGAGCTGGAGGACCGGAACATTTTCCCCAGGAGGACGGACGAGGAACGGCAGGAGATCCGGCAGCAGATCGAGATGAAGCTCTCCAAGTGAGTGGCCTCTCGGCCGCCCGGGCCCCTGCGCCGTCTCCTTGTCCCCGGGCCCCCACGCGGCACCCATGGGACACCCACGCGGCTTCTCAGCCTTGCCACTCTCCACACATGGGCTTTTGTCACGGGGGTCGTCCCTCCCGGGTGCTGTCTCGAGCTCGGCTGCGCCCTTGGTTTCCACTCGCTACGTCCCCCCGTGATGGCCTGGACCGCCCCAGAGGGTGCCCCGGGCCCCCAGTGGAGAACGAGGTTCTGGGAGCCACGCAAGTGCCTGAGGAGGGAGGGACTGTGGCGAAGTGGGGGCGTGCCTTGTTGTGGGGGGCGGGGGTGTCCCTGTTTGCCAAGGCCTGGTCATTTTCCTGCAAGACCACGCATCCCGTGTCATCCCATCTCCTGAGTGCTGGGGAAGAGCTGGATTCCCATGTGTGGGGGCACTCCGTGTGCCATGCTGAGCCCATCGCTGTCGGGCAGGGGGCCCGGCCCTCCAGTGAGCGCCCCCCGCTCCAGTCCCCGAGGCCGCCTGAGGTGGCCCCCGGGGTCCCTGGCTGGAGGCCCACGTGCGGTAGGATGGGACCGCATGCAGCGTGTGCGCCCCGGTGCCGAGGGCGGCTGGGACCCAGTTGCGCCCCCGACACAGGACCCCTGGCGGTGAGGGGTGGGGCGGGGGTGTGGAGACGGGACAGCGCTGATGCCGGACGAGGCTCTGGGTTGTGTTTGAGGACCAGGGCGGAGGGCTCTGGAGCGCCCCGGCCCGCGGCCCTCTCCTCTGTAAAGGGGGCGCGGACTCTCCTGTGGTCACTGTGCGTTTCACACTGTGTGTGTCACAGGGAGGTCCCGTGTGGGCGGCGCGTGGCCCGGCTCACGCTCTGCAGTGGACACACGCAGTCGGTGGCCCGGCTCAGCTGGGTCTTCGAGGGACCTTCCTGCCTGGGCTCTGCATGGCCAGGCCACCTGCGGCACGGGTCGCTGTGGCCTTGGGGGCCAGCGGCTCCGGAAGTGTGACAGGGCTGCCCAAGGCTAAGGCCCACCCCTACAGGCGGTGTCTTTCCGAGGCCCCTGGAGAGAGCAGTCTGGACCGGCACTTCCCAAAGCGGTGACACACATGGGGTGTCCGTCAGCAGCTCCCTGTGGGCAGTGAGGTCTGGATGCCCTTGCACACGTGGGGCCCTCACCTCACGTCTGCAGACGTAGCCTGCAGCACGACAGCGCCCTGTGCTCTGCAGGAGGTGGCGGGGCCTCCGGGCGGCCACCCTCCCTGGGCATCTCGGGAGCGTCCCCGGCCACCGTGGGGCCCGTGCCCCACCGACACCCAGTTCCTTTTTCTCCCAGAGTCTCTGCTTTTACAGCAGCAGTAAAATGAACGTTCTTATGTTGTCGTCCTTACGGGAGCATTCCCCGGGTCCCCTCCTGGTGGGGACGGTGCCACAGAGCACGCAGCCGCACTCACAGGCGCGGCTGAGCAGCTGTCCGGAGTCCCGGCGCTGTCGGGGCTCCCGCCGCCCGGCCCATCGTGGGCGCCGCCTGTCTCGTGCCTCGTGGCCGGTCTCACCGATGCGCGTGTGCCTGTGAGAGGTCCAGGCTGTCATTTCTCGTTTCTAGAGGGATCGGACGTCTTTTTCAGGGTTTGTAAGCCTTTGGCTTCTTCTTCTCATGTCCTTTACCTGCAGTTTCTTTTGTCGTGACAGCCATGGAGCTCACTTTGGAAGGGGGGCCTCCCAACCCTTTCCCGGCTTCGTGGGTTGCACGGCCCCGCCTGTGGGAGGCTTGAACTTCCGTGTTGTCCATGCTTTCTTTGCGTGCGCAGAGTTTCGTTTTTAAGGTCGTGGGTTACCAGTTGTGTGCTTTAGGCGTCAGCAGACTTCTGCTGGGAGGAGCCGGGTTGTGCCCGTGGTGGCTTTGTGGACGTGTGTCTCCTGTAACCACGTGGCTCCACTGGCCTAGCACTGCCAGGGCCCCAGGTGGGGCGGGACACGTGGATGGCATGTGTGAGGAGCTGTGCCGGTGACACTTTGTTCACGGACGCAGGCCCTCGGAGCACAGTGTGCTGGGCCCGCGTCACGGCGGGGGGCGGCTCGTGCTGTCTTGGCCGCGTTAGAGAAACACGCGCCCCCGCCCACGGAGGTGAGAAGAACACTCACTCGCGGCCGCGGTCGCCCTCCCACAGGGCCAGTGGGGGTGGTTTCCTGTCCCACAGAGAGCCCAGGCTCTCCCTGAAAGGGGTGTTCGGCAAGTTCAGGAACGAAGAGTCAGTCCTCTGTGACGGTGTCTGCGGTTAGACAGAGGAGGAGGCCTGGGGACCCCGGCCAGCGCGCGGGCGCGGCGGGCGGAGCCGGGAGGCGGCACAAAGGGCCTCGGTGTCCTCCGTCACCCGCAGCGACCGGGACCAGCTCTGCACCTCGGACCCGGCAGCAGCAGCAGCAGCAGCCCCTGGGCGCCTGGCACCGCGTTCACGCGTGGGGGCCCAGCCCGAGGCGGACACAGAGCACCGTGGGGGACGGGCCCCGGGTCGGCGGCGGGGCCTCCCTGCCCGGCCTGCGTTCCCCACGGAAATGGTTTAATCGGGTCCCTCGTCTTTGTTTTGCCTCCTGTTCGGAGATTCCTCTGCCGTCACTTGCTGAATAATTCAGTCTCTGGTTGCCATGGCAACATACCCCTTTCCCTCGTATCCTGAAGGGTAGTTAATGTTTTGGTTTTATTTTCAGACCCTTAAAATTCTGTCGCTGGGCACTCCTGGGGCCCTTCTGGTCACAGTGCTCCCTGCGCCCCCAGCCCGCCCCCGTGACACTCTCTGTGCCGGACCTGGGGGCCCAGTAGAGTTGTCACCTGCAGTCCGGACTTCTGACCCCTTCACCTTCTCTCCCACCCCCCACCCCCACCAGCACCTGCCAGAATGTTCTCTGAGGCTGCGGGTTTGTTGTTCATTTTGGTCCTTGGCGAATGAACCCCAGAAGCGGGATTGCGGGGCGCTTGGGAGTTCTGTTCATGATTTCTGGAGCACCCTCCGGGCTGTGCGGAAACGCGGTGTGAACGGGGGTTAAGGGACTTGCCCGGGGTCACTCAGCCGGCAGGAGGCGCGGCAGCCCTCAGGTGCAGCGTTCCCGCAGGGACGCCACCGCCCCCCCCACCAGCCATCTGTCCTGGTCACAGCTCTGCATTTCTCACGTTGACTTAGCTTCCTCGGGGTGCATTCGGACCTCTGGCCAGCATGCTGGGCCTTGGGGTGCAAGGTGCTCCGTGCTTGTGTGAGGGGGGTGGCTGGAAATGATGACCGTGTCCCCCAGTGTGGAGCCCTGGGGGGCTGGTGCTGGTGCACAGACAGACGTCCCCGGACCGACGGCTTCCCACCCCAGCCGTACGAGTTCGTGCAAACACCGCCGTCCTCCAGTCTCCCTTCTGGGGGCAAGACGGTGACTGTGGCCGCCCCTTCCTGCCCAGGGCCCTTGGGGAGGTGCCGGGTTAGTCCCAGTGAAAGCACGGGAAGGGTGTCCCCGCAGGAGGTGCTCAGGGACGGGGCTGCTGCCGTGCTGGTCTCAGCCAGGCCCCCCTGGGGTGCCTGTCACCGTGCGGGGCAGAGGCCCTGTGGGGCCTCAGCGAGGACGGAGGGAGCTGCTTTGGGAACAGCTTTGGGGCGGGGGGGGCCGGGGTGCCAGGCAGCGCTGGTCTCCTGTGGTCCGTGGTGATAGGAGGGTCCGCGAGGGCGGCGTGGCGGTTACTCGTGGCTGGTGTGTGATCTGCCTGGAGACACAGGAGGGAGGGACCGGCCCTGTGTGATGCTCAAACCTCCCACTAACTCCCTGGGGGTGTCTTCGCCTCCGGGGCCCAGCGGCATCTTGAGGAGCTGATTAACGCTCAGGAGTGCCCCCCCTCAGGAGCCGGTGTCCAGCCTGTCAGCACAGGTGCGGGGGGGGGGCGCTTCAGTCCGCCCCTCCCTCGTACGTTCCGTTCTGCGTGCGGAACAGGCTGCCGCGCTCCCGGCCGGCGCGCCAGCATCAGCACCAACTCCCTGGGGAACGGGCTGTGGGCTGCTGCCCCGCCCCCCTCCTCTGCTGAGGTCGCCAGAGCCTGCAGCTCGAGGGGACGACCTGCTGCTGTGCAGGGCGGGAAGGGGACTGGCGCAGCTTCCTCGTGGGGTGGAGGGGGCCAGGGACTCCGCTTTCTTCCAGCTGAAGCTCGGAGGAAAGCTGGGGCGAGGAGCCGGGGTCTCAGTGCCGTGGACCCGGAATCTGGAAAGCAGAGACCTTTCTCAACGGCCAGAAAGGCAGCCGCGCCTTGGGGAAGAGTCGGGGTTCACTGCCAGGGCCGTGGGTGGGCGCGCTGACAGCCGGCCACCGCCCTCCCCCGCCCGACCTGTGCTGGGCGGGGTCCCAGCTCATGCGGAGTGACTCCAGTCGAGTCCCCCAGGCATTGCCCTGGCGGGGGCAGGGTAGGGGGTAGGGTGGGCGGAGAAGCCTGGCTGGTAACCGCGGTGGTCGCTGACGGTTACACAGCGTCTCCGTCTCCGGTGCGCTGCTCCCCGCCGAGCGCTGCTCCCGGTCCGGCTTTCCAGACGAGGAAGACCGGTTCCGAGCCGGGCGGTCGCTTTCCCGTGCTCACACGGCAGGAGACATGGGGTGGGGTGGGGTGGGGGGGTCTCTGGCCCCTCTGGCATCACCAGGGCGCTTGTGCAAGCACAGATTCCAGGACTCTATGCCTCAGTAGAGCTTTGCTGCCCTGAGGGTGGCTGCCCGCGTGTGCTGCCCGGGCGGCCGCGTGTAGGACCCTGGGAGGCGGCTCTCTGAGGCTGGAGGCTCCAAGTAATCTGTGCTTCCGCACAACAGCGGCCCGTCAGCATCTCTGTAGTGTACACTTCCTAATTGACTGGGTTTCACTTTTCGCTTCAGCCACCAGGAAGCTCAGAGCCCAGGGTGCAGCCACCTGTGGTGACTGTTGCATCGTTTGGGGTGGGTGCTTGCGTCTGGCCTTTTGTTGTGTGCCCTCTGCCTTAGTTTTCTCCACTTTGT